GTCTCTCTCTCTGTCTCTGTAGAGTTGGAACACACCTGTCTCTCTCTTTGTCTCTAGCTGAGGCGGTTCGATGTGGTCGGCCTCCATAAAGGCTCGGTAACGACTCTGGCGTGGAGCACCAACGGGATGAAACTGTTCTCAGGAGACGATAAAGGACGAGTTGTGTTTTCCTCTCTGGACCTGGACCAGGTGAAACCACAACAACAACACTACTAGTTAAAATACATTAATCATTTTGTTTATGTAATAAGAAAGGAAAGAGTAGTTTATTAATCGCGTGTGTGTGTGTGTGTGTGCGCAGGGTGTGTGTAAACCCGTGCTGCTGCTGGAGGAGTCCTCAGGTGTGGTCCAGATGGAGTACAGTCACCAGGTGCTGCTGATCTCAACACAGCACAGATCTCTGCTTTACTGCACTCAGAAACAGGAAGTCCAGCAGCTGGGCACCAAACCACGCAAGAGGTAGACATGTGATGTACATCCCATAATACAGGGACACAACATGTCCACAGTAGACATTCTATTAGAGACTATACAGTGTTCATGTCCACAGTAGTGTTGACAGTATTTTATGTGTTGGTTGCAGCAGCGGCAGGTTCGGCGCCTGCTTCCTGCCGGCTCTCTGTAAGCAGAGCGATCTTCAGGTATTTGCTGCGCGACCTGGACTCAGACTTTGGAGGTCTGACATCAGAGGACAGGTTGAGGACACTCGACAGCTCAAACCACTCTTCAACACACAGGTACAGTGGAAACATACGAGGGATGGACCTGAACCCTTTCTGACCGAAGTTGTTTATTATTATTCAGGAGAAGAAACCCATTATTGATGAGTCAAGTTATGTTTCTTCAGATCGATTCATATCATTGTGGATGGCTTTTCACTCACTAGTAGTTTCATTTATTTGACACATTATTGAAAAGGTATTTTCAGCGGGCTGAGAGTGAACGGCTTTCCACTTAAATTACATTTTCTATTTCCTGCCTGTCCGTCTACCTGTCTGCCTGACTCAGATTCCTCAGTTTGAGTTGTTTCCTCATCCTGGTCCAATCGGAGCTTACCGTCCAGAAGACAGACAGCTCGGCCTGCTCAGCTGTTTCCTCAGAGACGGCTGGATCCTCAGCTGGAACGAGTACAGCATCTACGTCCTCGACTGCGTTAACGAGGTACTACAACTACTGATACAACTACTACTGTGAATGTTGATATCAGTGTCAATCCGTTCTGTGTTTGATGTGTAAAGGTGATCATCGGAGCGTTGGAGAGCAGCGGAGATATTGTGTCGGTGTCGAGTTGTGACAACGAGATCTTCATCCTGAAAGGAGACCGAGACATCATCCGTCTCTCCAACAGCCCCGAGGGACTCTCTTCCAGCTGTGAGTACTACTACTACTAGTAGTATATATATGCACAGTATATATACTACTAGTAATAGTAACACTACTGTTCCGCTCCTCCACATCTACATTGGTTCTGTTATTACAGTATTGTTGTTTATATTTTTAGTTGTTATTGAATCTGAATCTGAATCATTTGCCAAAAGGTTAAGTGTATTCTTTACATTCCTGTAATCCTGAGGGGTTTAACGCAACACTACCAATAACCCAATAGTCGACTATCCGGGTCCACTGTAGTACGATCCATGTATTCAACACTGATATATATATATATGTCTGTCTCTCCTCTTCAGCGCTGGAGCTCTCCATCCATCAGGCCTCACCTTTGGCCACGCCCACCATCCTCCCACCAACTGGATCGGTTGAAACAGCTCAGCCAATCAGAACCATGGCCATCATTGTAGAGGGTGGGGGGCGGGAGAAGCAGGGGGGGGGATGGGAGAGGCCCAGCCAGGAGGGAGAGAAAGAGGAGGAAGTGGAGGAGGCGGAGGAGCAGCTTGAGGTGACTGACAGCTGTCTACAGCACTGGTTTAAGTGGTTGACACGTTCACCTACAGACTGGTGAACTGACCTGTTACTGGTTCTCTAGGTGATGGAACCGCCCTGCCAGCACTCCGGTCTGTTCACCGGCGACTCTCATAGCCGCAGCAGCTCCATCACTTCCTGGGAGATTCTCCTTGGAAACACCCCGCTGACCACTTCCTGTGAGCTGAGCTCCAGGCGCTACAGCGCCCCGCTGGGTCATGAGGGGCTGCAGCAGGAGCTGGTGGTGAAGGCCATCCGAGTGAAGAAGAAGAAGAGGAGACGCCATGGCAAGCAGGCAGACAGTCAGACAGACAAAATATATATTTATTGATTCCCCTTTATTCAGGGACGATGTAGTCATGATGCTTCCTGTCTCTGTCTCCGCCCTCAGACAGCAGCAGTGGGAACCGCCTCTCTGAGAGCAGCTGCTCAGACTCCATGTTTGTAGTCCAGGACGGCAGCTGTAGTGACGGAGGAAGTGGAACTCCTCTGAGTGACAGAGCCTCCCTCCTTGGTCTTGACCTTCAGAACCAGCACCAGATCTCACAGAAAGCAGAGGGTGTAAAGGATGGACAGAAGGCGGAGTCTTCCTCCAACCAGTCTGAGTTAGTAACTGAGGACCAGCAGAGAACAGTATTGTCGTGTCTCATCATGTTTAAGTCTCATCCTTGTTTTCTTGTCCCAGCTCCCTGCTCTTCCAGGGTCTGGAGAATCCAGGAAAGGCCTCTGGTCCTGGTCCCGGTGCAGAGGCGGAGGTTGTCCCCCCGACCCCGGACGTGGATCTGCTGCTGGAGTGTACCTTCTCCTACTTGCACAATGCTGAGGAGGAGGTTGATGATGGACAGGAGCAGCAGCCAATGGAGGAGCAGGAGGATGAGTTTATGAGCCCTCTGATTGGACCAGAGGAAGAGGAGGATGAGGTGATGATGCTGGAGTTTCATGGATATTAACATTTATCTGTAACTATCAGGTGACAGTTGTAGCTACTAAAGTGAGACATAACATTCACACAATGAACTGGTTTCCTCTGTGTTTGTATTCAGATTGAGGACCAGGTCCCCCCCGCTGTTCTGGCAGACCAGATGTTTTACTCCACTGTGTCCAGTCTGGACAGAAAACCCAGTATGTCCAGTGATGAAGAGGGAGACATCTACTGTCCCACTCTGGCCCCCACTGGCAGCAGTGGGGAAGTCCTCGACCATCCGTCTCATCAGAAGGAGAAGACCACAGACCAACAGGTAGACCACGATGCTAAGGACAGAGACACACTCAAACCTGACCAGGTGAGACGAGCACAAAGTCGGCCAGATGAAACCAGGTGAGTCTGTCAGCAGGTATTAATATTATTTTGTCTTTTCTCTTTGTAGTTGGCAGAAAGCTGGATGGGTTACTCAGGACCAGGATGTGGAATACTGAGCCTGCAGGTGACTGACAGGTGGGTAGTCAACAGACTCTCAGGTGACTAAAGTATTGCCTGTGTGTTTCAGGTATGTGTGGAAGCTACCTGTATAGTGTCTCACAGGTGACCTGTGTGTTTCAGGTATGTGTGGTGTCTGGACTTTAAAGGAGGACTGTTCTGCAGCAGTCTACTTGAAACTGGGCTCAACTGGCAGCGCTTTGAAGACAACGTCCACCAGGTGGCCTTGTCACCCTCAGGTGAGCTGCTGTCGTCATACCTGACAAATCCTCTGCACACTTGTTGTACACTGCACAGTTTGTACCGTTAACAATGTCACACTCTCAGTTTGACTTTATTTATACAAAGAAACCTAAACTAACCTCAGCTTCCAGTTAGAACTGAAGCTTGGTCTCATGTTAAAGTAGACTGTCAGGTTTGAACTAATTTCCCCCTGGAGATGAATAAAGTTTATATCTATCTATCTATCTATCTTTACAGGTGTGTGTAGCATTAGCAGAATGCTAACTGTTGCTCCCTCCATCAGGTAACCTGCTGTGGAAGGTGGAGCAGAGGAGCATGACGGCATTTGCTTGTGCTAAGGTCTCAGTCAAAGGAAAACGTCACTGGTACAAAGCTGTGGAGCAAACGACCTTCGTGGCTCTGAGTGACGACTCGGCCTGGATTATCAGGACCAATGGAGACCTCTACCTGCAGACAGGTAACTAGCCACCTATGTGTCTCACATGCTCTTTGACAAACACCTGCTGTTGTGAAGAAACCTGACATCAAGAACGGACAACTACAACATACTGGTTCCTATAGAGTTCCATGTGACACTGCAGTTTTCTCTGGCAGCAGTTCGTAACAGAAATTAAACTTTCGGAGGAAATTAGTTAACGTCCATAAAGTTGCTTCAAAGTCATTTCCATGTATGTACTTGGAATCCTGTATATTCCGTGTCCTGTACTATGAAGGAGGATTTAGGGTTATCGAGGTAACTTCAGGGAGGTTCACTTCTTACCTAATAGAGCTGAACACCTAACAGGTGAGCAGGTGAGGTTCAAGATAAGACATCAACTTGTATAAAAGCTCCGCCTACAGACCAAGCTCAGTAGGTTCAAGCTCAGTTCAGATCTCCAGCACCACCAAAACATGCAGGGTCACCAAAACATTCAGGGTCACCAAAACATTCAGGGTCACCAAAACATGCAGGGTCACCAAAACATTCAGGGTCACCAAAACATCCAGGGCCACCAAAACATTCAGGGTCACCAAAACATTCAGGGTCACCAAAACATCCAGTGCCACCAAAACATTCAGGGTCACCAAAACATCCAGTGCCACCAAAACGTCCAGGGTCACCAAAACACCTCCAGGGCCACCAAAACACCTCCAGGGCCACCAAAACATCCAAGACTACCAAAACACCTCCAAGGCCACCAAAACATCAAGGGGCCACCAAAACATCCAGGGCCACCAAAACATTCAGGGCCACCAAAACATTCAGGGTCACCAAAACATCCAGTGCCACCAAAACGTCCAGGGTCACCAAAACACCTCCAGGGCCACCAAAACACCTCCAGGGCCACCAAAACATCCAAAACTACCAAAACACCTCCAAGGCCACCAAAACATCCAAGACCACCAAAACACCTCCAAGGCCACCAAAACATCCAAGACTACCAAAACACCTCCAAGGCCACCAAAACATCCAGCACCATCAAGACATCCAGGGTCACCAAAACATTATCAGACATAAGACATGAATGTCTTTCTGTGTGCCATTGCCATAGTAACCCGTGTCTGTGTGTCCGTCAGGTCTCAGCGTGGACCGGCCCTGTGCTCGCTCAGTGAAGGTGGACTCTCCCTGTGTGTTCACCCAGGTGTGTGTGAGCGGAGGTGTGGTCTGGGCTCTGAGCGAACACAAAGCTTTGTTCTACAGAGAAGGACTGAACAGCTACTGCAGTGAGGGAGAGGGCTGGAAGTACGACACCGTCAGGTACTACTACTACTGTAATACTACTGTACAACAGTCAGGTACTACTACTACTGTACTGCTACTGTACGACACAGTCAGGTACTACTACTACTGTACTACTACTATACGACAGTCAGGTACTACTACTACTGTACTACTGTAATACTACTGTAATTGAACTGCCGATCATCTGATTGAAGGACGACCCGCTCTACCACTGAGCCAAAGTCACCTCTTCAATACAACTATTGTACTATAGCACACAGACAATTAGACTGCTAGTAGAAATGTCGCTTAGCATACAGCATTGAAACCAGTGGTACCTTTAGCTTTGAGCTAGGATTCATTGATTCTGTATATTTGTGATTGTGTCCCTGTGTGTTTGTCACAGTGAGGCTCAGGGTCTGGAGTTGATGTGTGTTGCCCTGGCAGAAGGTGGTACAGCCTGGGCGCTGGATGCCAGCGGCAGCCTCTGGTTTCGAACCGGCATCTGTTCATCCAGACCACAGGGCGACGACGACCACTGGTGGCAGGTAAATCGAGTTAGAGAGAAGGTTCTGGTATTGATCTCAGATCTCCTTTGCAGCTTAACAACCTGTCTGGCTGTCTGTCTCTCTCTCTCTCTCTCATCAGATCAGTATTTCAGACTATGTGGTCTTCGATCAGGGCAGTCTCTTCCAGACGCTGCTGCATGCCACCCAGAGCGTTGCCACGGTTACCAGGGCACCGGTGGAGCGTGTGGTGGCCTTCCTGTCGCAGTACTCGCAGTGCCAGCCGAGCTTGGTCAGCGCCAATGGCAGCGGAGTTTGGGTCGCCTCGGGACGGAACCAGCTGCACCTGGCCCGGGGAAGTCTCGTGGGTCAGTAGTAGTCCAGAAAGGTCCAGTAAAGGTCCAGTACCTACAGACTTTTTACTGCAGCTTTTTGTTTGATTCTTTCAGGAACCTTCTGGCAGAACGTCGTTCCAAGAGGAACCGTCTCAGCCACCAAGTGGAGCTTCATCACCTCTTCAGCTGTGCCTCACAGAGAAGGTCACACACCTGTACACTGTACACACAATACTACACACCTCTGCAACTAGTCCTCAGTCCTCTGCAACTAGTCCTCAGTCCTCTGCAACTAGTCCTCAGACCTCTGCAACTAGTCCTCAGACCACTGCAACTAGTCATCAGACCTCTGCAACTAGTCCCCAGACCCCTGCAACTAGTCCTCAGACCTCTGTAACTAGTCCTCAGACCGCTGCAACTAGTCCTCAGACCGCTGCAACTAGTCCTTAGACCGCTGCAACTAGTCCTCAGACCGCTGCAACTAGTCCCCAGACCCCTGCAACTAGTCCCCAGACCACTGCAACTAGTCCCCAGACCGCTGCAACTAGTCCCCAGACTGCTGCAACTAGTCCTCAGACCGCTGCAACTAGTCCCCATACCGCTGCAACTAGTCCCCAGACCGCTGCAACTAGTCCTCAGACCACTGCAACTAGTCCTCAGACCAATCTTTCATATGTGACATTATACACAACTGATCATAGTCTACCTGTGTGTGTTACCTGATTCTCAGGTACGTTCCTGTGGTTGGCTCAGAGCAGGAAGGATCTGTTCTGTGTTTGGGACCAGGATGGAGAGCTCCGTCCCTCGTCCATCCATCTGCCTTTTGAGGTAAAAACACCACATCTGTCTCCGAGTCTGATTTTACTCATCTCTGTTCATGCTGATGATCTTTTGTGTTCTACCTGTGTGCTCAGATGGAGCTGACTCAACTGTCTGCCTGTCGTGATGCTCTGTGGGGTTTAGACACCCATGGCCGAGTCAGTATTCGTACGCTGTCTTCGTCCTGTCCCTTTGGACTCCACTGGACCCCCCTGGACCTCAACCAGCTCGGTACGTACCTGAAAGTCACTACAAGGAACTTTCATTTAGTGTTCTTTTTGGCAGTCCCTGTGGACTAAAGTGGTAGTGTCTCTGAGCACCAGACTCCCTTTAGAAAACCTCTCATTTTACTGCAGCAGGGTCTGACAGTCTGCCCCTCTCAGTCCTGGTTCTGGTTCTCCCGTGCCTCCCTTCCCTCCAGTGGGTCCAGCAATACGTCCTGGGTCTCCAGCAGCGTGGTGTCGGTGTTGGCTCCCAGAGAGGAGAAGCTCTGCTCCTGGAGGAGGAGGAGGAGGAGGAGGAGGAGGAGGAGGAGGAGGAGACGCTGCTGCTGCTGCCGGGAGCTGAGCTCTCCCTCCCTCCGGAGCTCAGACTGCAGGTCCAAGGCTGCAGGTAAAGCCGGATCTGGGTCTGTCCACGGTGGACCGGTCTCTGCAGGAGGATCTGGGTCTGTCCACGGTGGACCAGTCTCTGCTGGAGGATCTGGGTCTGTCCACGGTGGACCGGACTCTGCTGGAGGCCCCACTGGACTCTGAGCTGAACTATAGCACAAATCTGTGTCATCTGCTTTCTTTGCCAAAGCTTTGTGCCTTCGTGCTGTTCTCTTCTTACACTTGTGACGTTGTGAAGGTCGGGTACATAGTGTTCCCTTAAAACATTTAAAACTATTATATCCAGCTCACCTAATCATGCATTAATCCCTCACTTACTACCACTAAAACCACAGTGTTCTCTGCTGCCACTAGGGGGTGCTAATGCGTTAATAGTGTTTATGAAAACACAAGCAGAAGTTAATGTGTTTTAATATCTTTTATTTTGTGAAGGAGTCTGACTTGTGGTCTGTGATAGGTTGATCAGTCAGGGTGTGTTTGGGGTGGGGGGGGTCAGGTTACAGTATGATGCACACACACACACTCAGCTGTGTTTCTCCGTCACATTGACGGGTGGAGGTTATGTAACAGGCTGGTACTTCAGAGGTGTTTCTGAGTGTGTCACGCTGTAACCGGACTGTCTGCTGGATCAGATCTGTTTTTAGTTCCTCTGTCAGACACCACATGACGGTCTCTCTCTGTCCAGGTCTTTACATGTTCCTGTTGAGCAACCAAGATCTGCCTCGTGTGGCATTGCAGAGTTGAACTTGTCAAATGATATGGTCCTTATTTTATTGAATGTTTCACATTGTGACCACATCCTCCGTTTCTTTTGGTTGCCATTTTTAGTGTCTTCCTGTCTAGGTTTCCAGGTGGTGGTCCCTTGCGGATCTGAGATATTCGGACTATTCATCAGGTTACATTCTGATCGACTGATCTTTCTTTTGTCCATTGTTCCAAACCATTTTCTATCGACCCTCGGTTTCCTCCGGTTGGTGTTTGGAGAGTGGTGTTGTGAGTTTGGTCTCAGTGGGTCTGAAAGGGGACCACCTGATCCTGCTAAGGTTCCAGGTGGAACCGTACCTAACCTGACCAACAGTCCTCTTCTAGGGGTCCTTGAGGATGTTATGAGGAGGTTTTGTCAAGTGTCCTTGGGAGAGACTGAACTGAAGTAGCTCCCCGGGCTTCTCAGCAGCCTCCTGATCCTCATCCTGAGGAGGGGTTGAATTCATATTGTGTGTGATGATAAAATAAAGTTTAGGGTCCTTGATTCAGTTCAAATGATCCTTGAGGGGGTTCCCAAAGACCATGTAGCGGATCCAATGGATCTTGAGGTGGTTCTTCAGTTTCCCAAGAGGTTTTAGGGCTTCTTAGGGCAGTTCAATGGGTTCTTGAAGGGGTTCTAGAAGTTCATGGGATGTTTTGAGGTTTCACACGCTTATATAGAGGGAATATAAATGTGTTTACAGGTGTGTTGAGGTAAAATATCACTGATGTGTTCCAGGAAGTGTTCGTCTGGTCAGTGTGAGCTGTGGCAGTCAGAACGTCTGGGCTGTGGACAGTCGAGGAATAGTTTACTTCAGAGTTGGAACGCAGCCCATGAACCCAAGCATGATGCTACCGGCCTGGATCCACATAGAAACACCTGTACAGGTAACACACACACACTGGATCCACATGGAACCACCTACACAGGTAACACACACATACTGGATCCACATAGAACCACCTACACAGGTAACACACACACACTGGATCCACATAGAACCACCTACACAGGTAACACACACACTGGATCCACATAGAAACACCTGTACAGGTAACACACACACTGGATCCACATRGAARCACCTGTACAGGTAACACACACACACTGGATCCACATGGAACCACCTACACAGGTAACACACACACACTGGATCCACATRGAACCACCTGTACAGGTAACACACACACACTGGATCCACATAGAAACACCTGTACAGGTAACACACACACTGGATCCACATAGAACCACCTGTACAGGTAACACACACACACAGAACCAACCGGTAACTGTGACATCATGTCTCTGCAGCCAATAGGAGTGCAGCTGGTCCGTATCCAGACGAGTCCTAACGATCGTCTCCTCTGGGCTTTGAACAACAGAGGAAGTGTCTTCGTCAGGACCGGACTCAGTGATGAGATGCCTGTGGGGACGGACTGGGAGCTGGTACCAGGTACACCTATCTGTCTGGACACCTGTTATACTGTGGATACTGTATTAATACATATACTGTACTTCAATGTGTGTACATGTGTACGTGTCTGTTTTAGGTTTAGTCGTCAGTCAGCTGGTCCTCAGCTCTCGGACCGTCTGGGTTCGCTGTGTCAACGGAGATCTGGCTCGTCGTTACGGGGTCTCTGACCGAAACCCTGCTGGAGATTACTGGAAGAAAATCCCTGGAAATGCCAACTGGTTAACTGGTACGACTAGGTTTATACTAGTAAGACTGGGTTTATACTGGTAAGACTGGTTTATACTGGTAAGACTGGGTTTATACTCGTGAGGCTGGGCAGATACATATTCCTGTAGGTGGACCCAGTGTGTGTGTGTGTGTGTGTGTGTGTGTGTGTGTGTGTGTGTGTGTG